AGAATTACATCTTGGAGATGTTCTAAGTGGCTCTGTACCTTTGCCTGTTAGTGTTTGCATCCCTCCTTGCTCCAGTCTGTCACAGGGAGCTACATCTCCCCGGCTCTCCTATCAACTGATTTCCAGATAAGTTCCCTCAAGGGGAGGTAGTGTGGGGATAAGAGGCAAAAAGAGGCAGGGTTCTCACTCTTAACTTGGCCTGGGTTCCAGCTGAAAAGACAACCCCTCTTTCCATGCTAATAGTTCACACCAGTTGGCTAAGGCTTCTGTTCTATTTTGCCTTGGGGCAGAGTAGCTCCAGGTATCACAGGGTTCTGTGGTGCCTCTTCAACCCTCGGTTAGTTTCCCGGCACTTATATTACCTATATGGCCTATCCCCTGTATTATATTCCCTCTACTTGTAGGACCTACAGTGGCTTTTCATTTCCCTGACTTGTCCCTCACTGAGGGGACCTTCAAAAATAAGGACTTTAAAACACATATTATTTTTCAAAAAATTATTTTCCAAAGAATTAAAGCAATTATTCAGATAATAAATAAAAGATTTCTTCTAGTAAGGAACAAAAATTTTATGAATGATAAAATCCATTCATCCATTCAAACAAAAATTATACTGACAGTGTGGTCCTGTCAAGCCCTACTCATTGCTGAGAAGACTACAGTGGACAATCAGGTCCAACCCCTGCCCTGTCCTGTGCGGCAAATCACAACTCTGAAATAAAACAATACAGGAATGGTCCTTAATGATAGAGCAATCTGGTAAAAGTATATTACCATTAACCTGTTCTACTCTCTGTAGACTTGGTTCCTACTTTTTCAGTGTGGTATGCTGAATTGTCAAAAGTTCCACGGGCCAATATAGAACTTCTTCAAAGTTAGTGTCTATTTAAAAAGGCCAGTTGTGCAAACAGAAGTAACCACTGTGGTAAGGACTGAAGCAGACACAATAATAAAAGTAAGGCACTATATACTTATAGACTGAAAAGATACATGTGTTTTATGCAGATTCTTGCTTAGCATCTTCTTCACAGGATATCATTTGGAGGAAGAAAGATTGACTCAATTTAATAAATTACTTCGTCCCTTCTCAATGACACAGGTAGATTATATCAACATAACAATGCTAGCTGCAATTACATCATGAGTAGCCTGTCACAGTCATCAATCTCATGACATTATTTCCAAGATGGAATTTTCAGGCAGAAGAACAGAAACAGACAATGACTCATGTGGTGAGCAGTTATACAGACAACTGTGCCCAAGAAAGCTGCCACCTACATATCATAATGACATCAAATGAAAAATGCAGACAGAAAGTAGTTTTCTGATTCATGTAGAAACAAAAGATTTGTGCAAAGCATACCCAAGACATAAGGCTGCAGTTACCTGATTACAGATCCTAAACATTTTATGCAACAAAGAATATATACATCATATACTCAGAATTTAACCTGCTTGAGCACAAGACCATGTTCAGCCTCAAAAATCACAGCACTGGCTGCACAAACGGCATAATATCTACCCCTGGCACTTTTATTAGATTTTTCTAAGATAAGTTAATGTACGCATGAAGGTAAACCCCACGGAGATCGTGTGGACACAATATTCACACTATTCTTCCTACTAGCAAATTAGAAAGCATTTTATGCCTGCAATACTTACAATTTGTTTGAGTAGCAGGTGGATCCACAATACTTTGTGCTTCATAAACACAGGGAGTCTAAAGAATGATGCTCACTCAAAATCTCAATGCCTTAAAGAAGTCAACTATAGAGCTGGGATTTTAAGCTTAGTGGCCCTTAACTAGCTACTAACTTTTACCCCTCACCACTCCCTAATATGCAGTCAAAATACACATCCCCTCAATACATGCACATGATACAGCACACCCTGGGGCTCTGAACATTCTGTCTCCTCTTCCTAAAATGCAAAGTCTCCTAACCTCGCCTAGCAAAGTCCTTCTTTATCCTTAAGATACAGTCTAACTGTCTCTTTGAAACTGTGGCTTCCTGAGGAAGATCTGTTGGCCTTCTTCAATGCTTTCATTTCTCCTGTACAGGAAGCCATAATAATGATTACTATGTTGCATCATGCATTTGTTTTACTGTAAAGTCCTTGGAATCCAAGACTTTATCTTTGAACCAGTATGTTCTGGTTCACTGTCTTACACAAAACAGGTGCCTAAGAAATATTTTCTGAAAGCATGTAAGTAGTGTTGGATATTAAACTTACAAACAATTTCCCCTAAAAGAAGGTATTTTGTACTCTTTTTCTCATCATCACAGAATGATATTTAAAAGACTTGGAGAACAGGAAAGCATCTCCTAGGGAACAGGTTCAACATGTTCATATTAAAAGACATTTTAATGGAGACTTTGATAAAAACGAAAAAGTTATTTGATCTTGTCTAGAGAAGGCTGTTTCATGGAAGCAAAATTCCTTCTGTTTAGATCTGGTGGAACTTTTTTTTAACCTCTCAAAAGGTGCCAAAGATAGAGCTAAAATAATTAAAAATTTATTTAAAAGTTTATGTTCCAAAGAATGATACTTAACAATGATTTAGCTGTTGATAGAAAAGAAATGAGAGGCAAGCTAAAGATTAATTTATGGAAGTTGAAGTTTAGAACTACCACTAGAAAATCTCCATACAAAGAAATTCCCCAGTCTAATCTTTCATATAAAACTGAAGTCAGAAAACACCCTCAAGGGTAACATAAAATACATTTGCAAAAATGCTAGGCCTCCCATATAGAGGAAATGGTTTTGGCTTAAAGACTAGGGAATTACCAACTGAGTCACTCTATCTGTGGCTTCCAGGAACCAAAGTATTGTAAGGGAATAAAGTCAAACAATGAAAATAATAAAATCAATATAAAATAGGATCTACATTTGTAAAAAATAAACGATGCTTATATTTGAATAACACTTTACAAGGCACTTGCATTTTTCAACTGGGAAAATGAAGCTGAAAAAGTTAAGTGGCATGTTGAAAGTCACAAAACCCCCAAAGGCAAAGGAAAATTTAGCTAGATACTCCCCCATGAAGTCTGCAACCCCTTCCATTAATCTGCCTCCTACAACCTGCCTCCTACAAACTTACAATGCTGTGAATGGCCTGGGACACTTTCTAAGATGACACTAATGAGAGAAGCTGTCTTCCAAATCACCTAAGAATCTCCATCTCAGGATGTGGGATTTTACCATCAACAGTGGTTACTAAAGACTACAAGCAACCAGTTACCAGTTCTCATTAAGAACTAATTTTTATGACCTGGTCCCCAATAAGGCTATTAATAGAGAGCAAGGGAAATTTGGAGGAAGAAGTAGTGAATCAACCTCTCTTTTCCATATGCTCTATTTTAGTGGAATAAGAGCAAGTATAAGAAAGAAATGGAGGGTTATTAATCATCAAAGTGGCATGTGATCCTCAAATGTAGCAATGCTCACTCCAGTGGGTTGCTTTCCTGTGACTCAAGATCTGTCAACCCAGGACATAGGGAATTTGAGTGATGCCAAGGCACATTCCTAAGTCTTTTCTCATTTGTTTGTTTGAGACAGGGTCTCACTCATGATCCTCCTGCCTCAGCTTTCTGCTGGGATTACATGAGTTCACCACTATACCCAGTACATCCCTAACTTTTAAAATGACTCTACTGACAAATCTAGCACAAGATCTAATAAGAATAAACCTTTAAGAAATTAACCGACTCAACACAGATTGATTCTGAAATACTCTTTTAAACTGAGTTTTTCCCAATGTAAAAATGCAGGATGAAAAGTCTGGGGATCTGCTTTCTTTATGACACATTTCATTTACCTACTGGTAGAGGTCACAAAAATATGCTACTAGGTGTCTACATCAATGCATCATTTCTGTCCTCCTTACATAACCTTCTTCTACAACAAATGGTAATCAAGTGAAAACATTAAGCTGCTACTTCCTTTCTTGAAATAGGTAAATAAAAATATATTTGAATTACTGTTTTATATTATATGCCCAATATGCTACAGCAAACAATCCTGGCAAATCCACCACATTAGCAACAACAGTAAAGGAATTAATAGTCCCCAAAATATAGCAACTTGAATCTGTAAATGTTAAGGGCGAACATTTTCACCAATAACCAAACTTGCTTATCATACTGATTTTTAGTTATATTAAATCATTCATCATTGAGGGCACAGGAAATAAAGACTAAATGTTTCTGCCAATTTACAATAATCCTATTTCACCTTCAGAAGTGTAATCACCATGGAAGCAACGAATCTGATGAATTCTTTGCTTCCTTTTCTCCTTCTGCACTACAGCCCAAATCTGCTAGTTTCTGGCAATACACACACACGCGCGCGCGCACGCGTGGCCTCCCATGCACTCCACAAGCCAGGGCTAGACTGTCTTAGAAATCCGCACTGTGTCACTGCATAAGACAATTTCCTGCTGCATACATCCTGGAAGAAGAAAGCCACCTAAGCACTCCGTCAGATCTCAGCAGGCTGTAAAATGACGGGAGTTGCTAAAGAAATAGAAGGCAGCAACAATCACCACCTTTAAAAAAAATTTAAGCAGTTTTCCTCTCCGTCATCTCACCTCCCTCTACGCCTTCTCTGTCTAACACACACACACACACACACACACACACACGCACACACACGCGCGCGCGCACACACACACACACATACGCTGCAGTTCATCCATAGCTCTGCGAGTGAGTGTTATCTCTAGACTGGCAGCGGGCAGTCCTGAAATACAGACATTTTCACTTGAACGCACTAGGCCACGTCCACCCCACCCCTACCTCACCCCGCCCCGTTCTATCCTGCCCCCTTCCCCCACCGATACACAAGATCGCCAACACCAAACCCCAAGCCAGACTGGCTCATCAGCAAGAGGAGCAAGCGCAGCCATTCAGAGACGACTCGGGCGCGCGGAGCCCTGGAAGCCCCCTCCCCACGGCGTGGCCCGCGGCGGGACCCCTCGCCCGCCGGGAGCGACGCGCTACCTTTAGACTGGCAGTCCGCGCAGAACTTGTTATCCTCCTCCAGCAGCAGGTTGGCCAGGACCGCCTGGTACCGGTCCACGTCCTTCACCGACTTGCCTGTCATAGCCAGGGTGCCAGCGGGGGCAGAGGGCGACGCGCCCCCTCGCCCCCAGTCCCAGCCCGGGGGTAAGGACTCCCAGACCCCCACCCAGAGCAGCTTCCTAGCGAGAGAAAACCCGCTCCTCCCGCCTAGTTCCGAGCCCCTGCTCGGTCAGCGGCGTCCACCCCCAACTCCGCAGCCCCCCGGTGCGGCGCCCCCTGGAGGGCTCAGGGAAAGGCCCGGGTCCGGCGGCGGCCGCTGGACCAGAGACCCGGGGCCCAGGCAAAGGGAGCCCTCGGCCTGCTGGGTGCCGGACACCGAGACGACCCCCGGCCTGCCTTTTCTGCTGGCCGTGAGTCCCGTGCCCCGGTTTACCCGGCAGCTGCTGCCCTCCCTGCCACAACCTCCACCGCCTACTTCCGGCAGCTCTTCCTCTCCACCTCCACCCAGCCCGACCCGCGCATGCGCCCCGCCCCCTCCGCGTCCTCCTGGGCTCCTCCCTTGGTTCTGCCTTGTGAGAACCAATCCCGGAGGGCCGGGGGCGGGGTTTAAGGGGTGGAAGGCAGGAGGACACGCCCCCCGCAGGTCCTTGGAAAAGAATGAATGGAGCCTGGCTGGAAGGGAGGAGGGAAGGGAGGAGGGGAGGGTGGGGAAGAAAGAGAAGGAAAACAACTGACGTTGGCTGAGCTCTTACTGTGTCAGGCTCTGTGCTAAGTGTACATAAATTATCCCAATATTATCCTCATTACATCTCTGAGCTAAGTAGTTATCATGCTATGTAACCCGAGGATTGAGGATACCACAAAGTCTTCCAGGTCCAAGCCCCTACTCCCAAGTTAAGGGAACAACGCACTTTTCCTAACTTTCTTTCTTTCTCCTTCCTTTCTTTTTCTCTGGTGTTTTGAGACAGGGTCTTACTATGTAGTTCCTGTTGGCCTTAAACTCACTATGTAGCCCAGGCTGACCTCAAACTCTCATCGATCCTCCTGCTTCAACCTCCCGAGTGCTGGGATTATAGGGGTGTGTCATCACTCTGGGCCCCTGATTTTCATCAGATCTTGGTCAGCCCTGATTGGGAATGCCTGCTTCCACTGACTTTCATTAACTCTTTCTTTGTGACTACTTGTGACTACTGTGATCTTTGGATGTTGTTCAAGTACCTAATTCCTTTTGTGTGTGTGTGTGTGTGTGTGTGTGTGTGTGTGTGTTTTACTGAAGATTGAGCTTTCACACTGATCTACATTGCCAGCCTTTAAAAAAATTGATTTTGAGACAAGATCTCACTAAGTCACTAAATTTCCCAGGCTAGGTTTAAATTTGGGATCCTTCTGCCTCAGCCTCCCAGAATGCTAGATTAGAGAATGTACCACCATGCCTGGCTTCCTTTTTCATTCTTTAGAACTTCAAAGCACAATATAGTTTTGTGTAGTCAACTTTTACTGAAGTTTACGGGGTAGAGTGGTGATTACAACATAACATAGAATAAGCAACTACTCAAAAATGATTATTAAACATCATCCAAAGCTATCCTTAGGATAGATAATGTGTTAGCCTCTGTCATTTTCTGTAGGAGGTCACCTGGTATCTTGTTCACGCTTTCATTCATTCACTCATTATACCGTTACTTAGAAATGGCTAAGAATCTGGCACTGTATTGTGGGAGAAGGGAAAAACATAACCTGATTTGTGATTTTAAAGGACTATTCTAAAGACTAGGGGTGTAGTTCAGTGGTAAATCACTTTCCCTGCATGTGCAAGGCCTTGGGTTTGATCCCCAGCACCACACAAAAAAATCCTTCTTACTGTGTGGGAATGATGGACCAGGAAGGCTGGTAAGATGAAAGGCCCTGAGTTATCTTATCTCTAGTGCAATCCTCTCCTTCATTTTAACTTTCTCTTATGACCAGTCTCCCTGCAAAACTTCCTTCTCATCAGGAGAAAATGAAAATTCTGTTATTTTATTAATCAAAGCAGTTTAATTGTTGTTTCCATTCAAGCCATGCCTAGCAGACTTTACTTTCATAAACATGCAAGTTCTAAGTTGTTTTCTAAGAAAAATCCTCAAAATAGGTGTTACCTTAGCCAGAGGATTGAGTCAGTCGTGAGCATGCCTTAGTCTAGCCTCTCATCTTCATCCGTTTACTCTGTAAATAGCTTCCTTGCTTCTCATCTAACCAGCTACACTGACTTCACCTTGCTCTCTAGAGAGAGCTTCGAAATGGCAAATCTCATTAGCTCACGATACCTGTTTATAAACTTCTGACGCTTCTCCATCACCTATGATGGTGCTTCTCAAATCTTTTCCTCTCTTGAGAGATTGAGCATGGACACCATGGGACCAGAACGTCTGGGTTTTAAATCCTCAGTTTCAACACTCTTGACTTTAACAGGTTACTTAACTTTTCTGTGCTTTGATTACTTCACCTGTAAAATGGGAATGATGATGATGCTAGTAACACCTATGTCACAGGATCATTGCAAGGTTTAGCTGGCATAATGTCTGTAATGGTATATTTAGAACAGCTCTTGACATATCGTGAATGATAGTACTCTTCACTAAGTATTTCTGGCTTTTGCCTTCTGGGTATGTGGGAGGGTTTTATTTCCTAGCCTTCTTATGGTTTGATATGACCGATGGATTTAAGCAGAGGGATATGTCACTTTGTGCCTACAGTGTTTAATACTCTAAGACTCCCCTGACTCCCCTTCCCTCTGGCACAGTAACCATCAACATTTTGGATGTTGCTTGTATTATTAGCCTAGGTGCCTGAATAAGTGATAGGCAAGAACCCTCTGTGAACCCATAAAGAGTAAGTAGAACGATCAAGAAATAAACCTTCTTAGTATTAAGTCACGGGGTTTTGTTTGTTTATATACTTCTGGTATGTGCACAGTCCATTCAATCTAACCTAAAGTAACTGTTACATCAAATAGCAGCTCTTTTTATGGTGTTTGTTGTTGTTGTTGTTGTTGTTGTTGTTTTGTGTGCTGGGCTTTGTACATGCTAGGCCAGTGTTCAATCCCTGAGATATACCCTTAGCCCTGTTATCATTTTTAATGTCAGGGAAAAAAGCATGAGTGTAGTAGCCCACGCTTGTAGTTTCAGCACTCAGAAGGTTGAGATAAACAAACAAATGGCAGAGGAAATGAATTTATTTCTCAATTCCTGAGGATATGGATTAGACAAACTTTTCTTCCAAGGCACGGTATTCTTTTAAGTTTTGCATTTTCCCTTGAAAATTCTTACACAAATGTTTATGCTATTCCATAATGTACTGTGTCATCATAAAATTGTTTCACATTAGTTTCCTGTCTGTCCTAGCAGCTACTGGGCACAGTTTGGTTGCACTGTGTTTATGGAAGGAATTGTAAACATATGATATCATATCATGCTTGACTTCCAGATGATTTCTCTTCTTCATTTTTAAATCAGAGTATTTTTCAACTGCAGCTCACATAGATATGAGGCCAAAACAGAAATCTGGTTTTGAAGCTGTTAGCATAACTATGGTAGAAAGTATTTAGAATATTACCCAAAAGGTGGCAAGGTGAATAGTTTTGGACTATTGCCACATGAGATTTTCATGAGTATATCTTCTACCTAATAAGTCAAATCTCTTGGCTCATACGATGAACTAAAACTGTTTTTGGATCCACTAGGCCGGTATGTGCACAGTCCATTCAATCTAACCTAAAGTAAATGATACATCAAATAGCAGCTTAGGGTGATATTACCAAATGATTACCAATTCAGGGTGACACTAACAAAATGGCTTTTTCATTAGGAAAGCTGTATAATTATGCTCTCCATTTTGCTGACAGTTCTGTACTGTTTGTCACATTAAATGAACAAGGTTTTCAGTGAACCCAATCAACTCTCTTCCAACAACTCTCAGGCCTTTTTTAGTGTAGAGAACTTGTCACAGGTATCAGTAAGTCCCCATTACCTTGCGGAGGATTGAGTTTGCAGCCTTGAAAACAGGTTTGCTCCCGAAGCTAGTTCTGGGCCCTGTACCACCTGCCCCTTCTCTCCTGCACTTGCATGTGTCTGTCTACAGCCAGACTGTCTCGGAAGAGCCTCTATTTGCTATTGCTAAGGACACCCACCTTGACAAAGCCAGTATTTTTCCCAGTGAGACTGGTTCCTGCTGCTTACAGCACTACCATTGCCTAGGATTCCAGGGGACCAGCAATCAGCAGTCACCAGTCCCTTAGAAAGAGGGAATGGCTCTTCCTCCGCTCTGTGTCACACATTGTCATCTGACCCCAAACTAGCCCTACTTGTGTACAGTCTCACAAAACCTTAGTGTGGCCCTAAGGACTCTGGTATCAGGGACCCCTGCAATGAGTCCTCAGTGTCCTGCAAGATGTTATGGTGCAGAGCAAAAAAAAAAGAGCAAGAGACAAAATGGCCATGCCATGGGGATCTGGGATGGCCAGTTGTTCAAGGGAACAAAAGATCACGAGGCAGCCAGAACCTCATATTTATTGATCACATTTACATTCAGGAAAGTGGTGGGGGATTATCAAATGACTCCAAGAGGTGGGGAGAGGTGGCAGGTTAACAAGAAGCTTGTCCTTTCTCCCAGGTGAAACCTTTATTATTATTATTATTATTATTTTTTTTTTTACTTGATTCTCAAGGAATCAGGATGTCTTCACCTGATATAATCCTGCCCTGGAGCATCACAGCATCATCTGACCATTGAGGCCTTAACTGTGACAGAAGGCATATGGAGTTAGGTCTCCGTATACCATCACTGGCCTGTGTGGCAAGATGTTAGGCCTTGAACAAGCCCTAATGACAATTTAATTATGAAATGATTTTTCCAAAAAAAATTATATAGAATGGCCTTTGACACTCAGGCCCAATGGCAGGACAAGGGAGCAAGTTGGCAGGTAAGAGTTGGCCTGTAGGAGAGGCTGCCCTCCCAGAAGTTCCAGCTGTCACTGGAGGAAGCGGCTCTGCCAGCCGGAAGAAAGCAGAAAAAATAAACAACTCAACTTCTCTCTTCTCTCTACTTCTGCCTCTGACTTGGTATCTGAAAACTGTCAACAGGAAATGCTTGGAACTATGTCTGGGAGACCATGGGGGTTGATAATGGAAATACTGGGGTTTTTGTATTAGATTAGTGGGGTTTTGTTTTGTTTTGTTTTGTTTGAGATAGGGGTTCACTATGTAACCTAGGTTGACCTCGAACTTATGATCTTCTTGCTTTATCCTTCTGATAGGAGGTTGATTTCACCAACCCACCATTTACTCTAGAAAACTTGTGGCCCCTCCCTCTGCCAAACCCTTCCTTCTTCCCTTCTCTGCCCTAATTGCATAGTGAAACCTCCAGGACTATTCATGTGTAAAGATAGGAGGAGGTACGTCCATCTGCACCCACAGTGCCTGAATCTTGGCTCGGCTCACCACTGAGGTGACCTCATTGTGTTG